TGTTTGTTTAGACTTGTAAAAAGGTTAGATGGTGAGTTTCGTTTCGCCCTCCAAACTGCACAGGCTTGTTATAATAACATCTGATTATATCTATGTATGAACATGTATGAACATCTATATATATATATATATATATATATATATATATATATATATATATATATATATATATATAAAGATATGTATGAATGTGAGTGTTTTTATTCTATTTCATTTTCTCCAAGGTCTGGTAAAAAATCAAATTTCCCCCACTCTCAGCCGGATGAGTCATCCAATAACTGAAATAACATGAGCACCCTGCTTGAAGCATTCTCCATTCCAGATGCTCAGATGCTGAGCACAAATGTAGACCTTTTCGGTTTTAGAAAAAAAACAACAGGGGTTCTCAAATGCAATATACCTGATAATAGCTAATTCTTGGAAGCCTGAAGGTTGTAAATACTGCTCTAACTGTCTTCCATGCTGTTAAATAAACTCATGACACTAGAGCAAGACTTATTAGATAATTCTATTTTGGGGTTTTGACTTGAGGCAATTAGGATGAGAGCTGTTTTTAAATAAAAGGGAGCCTCTGTCTCGCCAAAACATGTGAGCGCAGAAGAAACTCATACTTTATAAGCGTTGGAAAGTAGGCTCCTGGCCTGACAAAAGATGCCTTATTATTTATGTCTGATTTTAAACAGGCTGAGCTCATGTGAGAGTGATGTGACAGTAATGTCAAAACAAGGGACACTTCAAGGTAAATCTGATTCTCTCCTGCCACCATGTGGATGCCACTAGATACTGCAGTTCCAAAAACCTCTACCACAATGCACCACATTGAATTATTAATTTAATAAATTAAATGAATAAATAAATGTAAAGGCATTGATTGCATTTTGTACTCATGTTTTAAAAACTATATAAATATATATATATATATTAAATTTCTTAAAGCATTGAATGTAATTAGTTCATTTTTGTCCTGTGGTTCAGCATTATCATAGATCAGTTGCAGCTGTAGGGGCTAAAATTGGTTTAGACCAGGTGTAAAAAGCAGGAATGCTTTGCTTCTTAACAAATCAGATGTTAAGATTTTCTGACCAGCTGCTTAAATCAAAGCAGCAAAGGTTATCAGAAAAAAATAAGTGAAAACTGAAATATTTTCCTCTGATTTAAAAGGTTTGAGTTCAAATTGGATTCACTGACATATTTAAATAGATCAAAGAAATAAAAAAATGCCTTCTCTTTTAATGAAACTTACTTGCGGAGCTCTAAAGAGAATCAATGATCATTTTTGACAAATGCTATGGCTCTGAACTTATGGATAAGTACATTCGCTGCTCAGATATTTTCCCAAAAGCTTCTAAATCACTGAACCAGTTCAGCCTCTCACATATGCAGACCTCTTACTAATAGTATTTGGGCTTTTTCCCCCCTAAAACTTTAAAAATAGCTTCGGGTTAACAAAGTTAAAACAAGTAAAAAGGAAATTTGATATACTGCAGTGTCACATGCAGCACATGCTATTTTTGATATTTCAAAGCACAACAACATGCTGTTTTTAGAGGGTCAGTAATTTCATTTGACTTCTCTGTTCCTCTGCCCCTTACGTATTAACAGTTTTGGGTGCTTCTTTATGTTAGCATCTTTTCCCCATGTCACTGCATTTATCCTGCTTCAACCAAGCTACTCTCTTAGCCACGTATCACCCTCCATTGGATTTAATGCACCCACTGAATTCTTAACTTGATCCCTTAAGAGGCGCACACATCTGTCAAAGATGATCAAATTAAGATGATCTTTCATCGGCAGTTACCACTTATACATTTCTGCACCACAGCTCAGCAAACTCTTAGTAACATGTCCATCGGTGAGAGATAGCCGTCATGATTGGGTGAAGAACGGAAAGGTCCTTCGCTTTGTAATTATCTGCGGCTTCCAACGCTCTGTATTCCCTCTCTACTTGGCTTACATTAGTTGCACTAATAGCACCCCTCTAGCTATTCCTGGTGCTGTGAAAAGTAGGCCGCACTCTCTGGGAAAGGCTCTGGTGGCACGAGGGGAGAGCTGCAGACAGACATATTACAGATCACAGTGTACCACATACATGCAGGAAGCAAATCCACAACCTGCCTCTTAATTTCCCATGCCGATTCACAACAAGACAATTTGTAGTTTAGAAAGTGGTTCGTGAGCGAATCGTGAGCATTATCCAAGCACGCTGTCAGTCCCTCTTCGGGTTTAATGACAGAAAGCTGTGGGCCTGGAACTAAATACAGGACATGATACACAAACAAGGCTGATTGTGAGTTTGTTTATTTTGATTAGAGTTTGATAGGTCAAATTTGGTGTCACTATGTGTGTAACTTAATTCATTCAATAAACAATCAAGTCTTGGTTTAAAAGATATAGTTAGTAACAGCTCTAAAATGTATTCATAAAATACATTTTTATAGCAAAACATAATGCAAAATAAAACAGGGCTTCATTGTCCAGATAACTGCTTTGAAATATTCCTATAAATAACATATAAAAGTGCGATTGTCCCAAATGTACTCATAAAATAAAGAACTCTTATCCAGTTTTTGACATCAGGACTATAAAAAGCACTGTTCTCAAGCAAAAATGACTGTTCTGGCTGCAGAGGCCACATGAGTAACCTATTCCTGATATCCAGGTTGGTTATAAGAGGAAAGAGGGACAGCCTTGAGTTGAAGTTAAAATCGCTTCTTCCAAAATAGTTCTAGCACCTCACTCTCATGGGTGAGCCATCTCCCTCACTGAGAGTGTCAAATGAGATCCACGTAGAGGTTAAACAGCCTCCTTACCACCCTGAGAGCAGCCATTCCTGCAGGACATGAATTAAATCCTCACCTATTCAACAAGCAGAGAAAAAGACTCACTCCTGCTCTTACCTTTCCAGGTATTTCTCTGAGAAATCAACCATGTTGTAAAACATTGGCGCAGGCATGAAAGCAGCTGCATGTAAGCGTATGTCAGGAGTGGCGGCGGTCAGGACCCAGGGGTTTGTTTGGCAATCACATTCCTCTAACCTCCCGAGAGACTCTGCTGGGGCTTTATATAGTTGAGGGGGGTCTGGGGAAGGCGGACCATGGACTCACCCAATCCACAGGCAGCACTCAAGAGATGGATTCCTCCTGCTTGGGTTCTGGCAGGGTTTTTTAGCTGAGATAAAGCTAGTTCTTATAGCACAGCTTGCCTGTGCTATAAGAACTAGCTTACTGATCTATACTGATCTATTCTTACTGATCTATTCTACGCACCAAGACAGCAAACAATGGTAGAGCCATGTGGAAACTTGCTGACTGTTAGATGTCTCATCTATTTTTTAGGAGTGTTTCCCGCACTTAGTTGCTGTATGTTAAAGCATTAGGCTTAACGATAGGTATTATACTGTTATAACTTGTGCTTAGAAGATTTAGCAAACCTGACAATTGTGATATAATTGGTATAGAAGATTCAAATTAAACCACATTTCCCTAGTCTTGCCCTTTTCCACCATCTTAATGAAAATGTTTCAATCCACCTTTGTGAGCTTCAGCATGGGAGCAATGGATGTTGAGGAAAGGTTGAGATGTTCATCTAAATAATCAGACATATTACTTTGAGTGTGGCTACTGGATTTTAATTACAGTCCCTTGCATTTGTAGTTTTACAAAAATCAATGATGCAATGGTAATTAGATTATATATATATATATATATATATATATATATATATATATTGTGCAGATGTAGTAATGGGCTGTTACCATCTAGCTAATACCCCTCTCTTCCTTTAGTATATATCCCGATTTAAAGCTCTCAGAAATACCACAGTGGCTGTTATGGTATTTGTTTAATTAACCTCTAGCTGGCTAGTTATATGCAGAAAATCTGATTATTCTTTATTTTGGAATAGAGCATTTTCTTTTAAACAGATAAAGTATTGTATATAATATATACACTAGTTTATTGTTACATCAAAGAGCCATTCTTACTAAAAACCTCAAATGTTCTGTTCTCAGATCTAATCAAGTCATTGGAAGTGAACCAACTCCTGCTAAACAATCATCCTACATTGCTAAACAATCATCCACATTTGCATAAACCACTGTCCTCTTTTGTTTTTCGTTTTTAACTGGATCGTTTCAACAGTAAAAGTTAACTTGGCCTCACTTTAACTATCCATAGCTTATCTTGATTTACATGACTTAAAGACACCAAGTTATCCTCTGCAGGTTACATCGACCTTGCTTGCAAAATAACCTCTCTTCAGATATCCTAACTATTCTTTTAACAGTTCATCTGTACTTCAGTGTGACAAATTTAAAAGGAAGAGAAAAGTCCCAGCTTCATTATAAATGTAACACTTATATGATACCTTTAGATCTTTTAAATTCTATCCGGACCATAAAGAGTTCTTTTTAAGCAGCAGTTTACATAAAGATAATAAAGACGCCACTGTTACCCAATATATAATAGTCTTTCCAATAGGAGCCCATTTTAACACTACAGGAGGAGACTTTACATATAGTCTGGTCACAGAAAAGACATTTACATATTTACATTTTTATTTTTTAGGAAACAATTTCACTAATGATGCTTAGAGACCACATTTCAGAACAAGACAGTCATTGGGGCTGTTTTTGTTAGTCTGTCATTTCCATCTGTCAATGTTTCGTGCTCAGGTGATCAGAGTTGTTATCATATAATTGGTAAGTCAAGAGCATGAAAAAATAAAAAAATGCATCTTATAAGAACATTCATTACACCAATTCATTTACCTGGTAAAACTATATAAGGCAGTTAATTAAGAGAGAGATGTTCTAAGAAATCAAGGAAAACAGCTCTATGGATCCAGATTATATAAAGCAAAACCTGAACAGATCAGAGGGAAAAGATGAAAAGGCTTGAGAAAAAGTATAAAATGCTAAAGAAGTGGAAGAAGTGTTTAATTATACATGATAAAAAATATGTATTTTCTTTTGAAGAAATGTAGACCTACTTGTAGAAGACTAACCATTTAAAATAGTGAAGTACTTGTATTTTTCCACAGTTGAGTGAAAAACATTGTCTAAAGTTTCCTAATATGTTGTTGGTCCCACACATGTTGTGAAAACAAGACTGGCTGACCAAGACTTGGACCCTAAAAGACCCCTGAAGGTGCCCTGTGGTATCTGACACCATGATGTTAGCAGCAGATACTTACAGGCCAGTAAGTTGTGACTTTGAGCTACTCTGAATCAGATGCCTTCCAACACATCCTCAAACGTTTTTTTTCCTTTGCGTCATCGTTGGTATGTTCTCATTATGGCTTAATGAGTTTTAAAGTTGCCCCATATGAGTGGAATGAGCCTTTCTTGATGATCTGTAAGTCTTTGGCTTCTTTTATTAAAGTCCTTTACATACTCAAAACATCAGAGACGGATTCTATGCTGTGCCTTTCAATGTGAACTCAATTTGGAACCGGCACAAAGGCACCGGCTGCAAATTATTAGTGAAAATGAGAGATAAGAAAACATGTTAAGTGTTGCTGTATAGAGATAGATAGTGCACAATGATTTTAGCCAGAGGTCATAGAGCACAGTCTAAACCTATAAATAGTTCTGACATATTTTGCAGTCGTAGATATATTTCTTCAACACACTGACGTCTATCTCCTGGTTCCCAAGGCTTTTTCTGTATGTTACATATCAGCCTTCAACATCTGGAGGAAATAATTTCATTTCCTCTGGCGTGGATGGGAAGCCTGAGATTTCAATCTATAGCAGCGACACATTGAATTTGTATTCCTCTGAGTCACAGAAAGATATTGTGCTCAGAGCATATTTATCTGTGGAACTTTGCCATGAATAAGTAGATGTTGCTGATGGTTGTCAAACTACCTAAGGACCAATTAAACAAATCCAATAAGGTAAAGATATTGCAAATTCATTGGACACAAAGACTGCTTTGTTAATGCACAGATTCAACTCTGCATGACAAGCTTTGTGACTCTTTCTGGGTTTATTGATTTATGATGACAGAGGAGAGCAGCATCATGACAGATCTATTCTTTATCAACAAAAGACAAACTATTCTCCTTTATAAAGCTGTCATCGGAGTCACAACTGTGCAGAGCAGATGCCTATTGCCAGACGTTATAGATGGGAACCCTTCAGGCTAACTACTGTTGCACCTGGAAAAATTATCGGACATTTGCCAAAAACAAGAAAAACATGAATCAGCCTGTAGAGCTGTAGCAAGAAAGGAAATAGAGGATGCTCCATGAAAAGAGTCTAACAGACCTGTCTTTCCATGAAGCCACCTGAGATTTTCTTTCTGATTATAGATAAACAGAGTCTTAAAGATGTAATCTTACAGATCCAGCTTTTTTATATTTTACATAATGGCCAAAAAGTAAATTGTATTTTTAAGGTGTCTCAAAACACCTTATTAATTAATTAATTCCACAAGTGCGTAAATTATATTTACACCAAGGTTAATCAAACTCAATACCTAAATCCAATTAAGAATCGGTTTTAAGTCTTAGAAATGTATTTTTATATCTTCCAACTCCGATCAGACTGAGCTAGAACTTCTCTGCACAAAAGAGTTAGAAAATATTTGGTTTGTAGACATGCAAAGCTTTGCATCTGTAACTGAAATGTAAAGTGGTGTGAAGGCATAGGCTATGGGTGTGAAGAGAACATAATGTAAAAAAAAGAAAACATCCAGTTATATGGACAGGTTGGAAGGAACTCTTTGATGCATATCATATCATACAGTATGTGACAGCTTAACAGGAAGGAATATTTCTACAAATTCTGTTTGAAGGTGTACAAAAAATTTATGGCTTCTGATTTGATTATAGTATTTTTATACCAACTTGTTGATTAGTATTGAAAATTTGCTAAGAAGCACTTTTCTCTGCCTTAAATGATAACCACATTGCTCACATTTGTCACTTCCTCTTAATATGATATCCTATATCTACAATGTTGAAATCACAAAATAATCACTTCAATGCATATAAATGTAATTCCATAATAATCTAAAATTATATTACCTCATATTCTAAGTAATTTATTTATCCTACTGATAGATTTTATTCCCCAAACTTCCATCATTGTAAACTAATTAACTGTAGCGAGCAACAACAACACGTGTCCAGACACTGGATTAAAATATACATATAGAACTCTAATTTTTGAATCTGCTGTAAAACAAAACAGCATTAAAAAAAAACAACAACAAGCCTTTGTTGTATGTCCTCTGATCTAATGGAGAAGAGAGTAAACAGCTGATGAATCACAGAGGTGTCAACACCAGAAAATAAACATACCCTCCTCACACCTCTGGGAATGTTGGACACACATATGGTGCCACACACCTCACTATCACACCCTGTGTTCATCAATTCTCTGAGCAGATTTACCTGAGAAGATTCAACTTTGTAGTTCGAATATATTTCTACTGGAAGCCGAAGCAGTGTTTTAATTAAGTAGAGGTTTAGGATCGAAATGTTCTCACGCATACCATCGTATAAGTCCTTTGACACCCAAACTAATACCATGCCAGAGAAGGCCCTGATGATTCAGCTACAAGAAGCAAATCATTCAATTTCTGTTTGAACTAAAGAAATTTCCTCAGAGCAAGTTGCTGGCAAAACATGCTTCTATTGAAATTAGCTTTAATCTTAAAGGCTCATCCCAGAACTGCTCTGTCCAGACTGGCCCACTGCTATGTATCAAAACACTTGTATAAAAGCTGCTTTCACTGAATGTGAAAAGAGTACTTACAGGTTCTTAGGCTTCTTCTTCTTTGTGCCGTCAGGGCTGACCTCGCAGCTGCAGGGGGATCCGGCACTCAGCTGTGGGGACAGGAAACAGAGGACACACTGCATCATCCAGCCTCAACACTTGAAACCGGGAGAGGGGGGAACTTGCAGGCTCCTTGCAGGATGCTTTGACAAGCTTCTACATGCAACCTAGTTAGCTGCTAAGCTTGTAAATCCACAGTGTCCAGTTGAGATGGACACACTGTGACACATTTACAACAAAGCTGAGAAAAATGGCTAACCCACAGCAGCAGTCCACATCATAAATCCCATCAAGCTCTCTGGAGGTGTGTGGCTGTATCTTGTTCAATGAAACTGAAGTGAGCAGGCAGCGGATGATGGTAATAAACAGCATATAACAAAAGGAAACTTAATGACAATGAGAGAGTGTGAAGGACCGCAGCTGTTGTCTGGGCTGGTCCTCCAGCTGTGGCCAAAAAGTGTTGAACTGGAACCCCTGGTTTCGCATTACGCTTTCTGTAAGGCCAGGCTGTTGATTGGTCAAGAAGAAAAGGGAAGTTGCTTCGGGGTGGAGAAGGGGTCAATCTCCACTAATCTGATGGTCTGAAGCTGCCCCATTGTGAGTGTGCGTGTGTGTTTGTGTGTGAGAGAGCCTCTAAATAATGAGCCATTGTATTACAGGAACATACAATTGAATCTGAGCTAGATACTGGCCGTGGCTGGTAACACATGCTTGGTGTTTTCTACCTCTGTGGGAAACAGTCTGAGTTTCAACCATGAGGGTGGGGACAGCAAGAACACGTTGGCATGCTTTCCTTTTTTGCAATCTTTTGTTGAGGAAAAAACAAAGTGAAATGAATTAAACTGCAATCTGTAAACTTAGTGTAGAACCCCCAAAAAAACAAAAACAAAAAAACAAAAACAAAGAGAAAACAAACCCCTCTTTACCTAGAAATACATAAACATAGAAAAATACATTTAACTTAAGCAGAGCCTCAAACTGATATGAATCCCATACATTATCTTAATGATTCATATCAGTCAAATCCCAACTTGAAGCTTTTTAAGCTGTTTTTTTTTATTAATTTGGTGAAACCAATGCATATTTCTATGTATGCTAATTCTAGACACATTTTGAAGTAAACTTTTCCAACTTTTTACCATAAATTATAACATGATCACAACAGCCAAAATGTATTTTACCATTACAACGAAACCCATAAAGTAACTATTAAATATTACTTCTTCATGAAATGACAAATGTGATTAAAGGTGATTCCTTCTTGTAAAATCAAACTTCTAATGATACAATTATTTTAAACATATTGCATCATATAAAACCACAGTGAAAGGAGGAATTTGTCAGTAATCAAAATTATTCTCACTTCAGAGGCAACAGTATAAAACTGCAGGAAATCTGTTGCTAGCATGTGATTGTGTGTGGGATGCTAAGCCTGGTTGGGGGTGCATGATGTGAGAATGGGTTCATTGTATTAAGGTCTAATGCATAAAATAAATTAGTCTGAGTTTAATAAATTCACATTTTTTGCATTACACACCCATTATTCTCCAGCCACTCTCTGTACGAATAAGCTGAACAACATCAATCTGACTGTCAAGATTCATGATATATGAATATCTCAGGGCGACATGATACTCCATGAAACATCACTTATGTTAACAGCCTTGTCCTTGACTTGTCTCTCTTTGTTTCATCAATCATTGCAATTCCAAAATAATAAAGTGATTTAATTACTATGAAATAGAATAGGATGCAATAGGAAGGCCTTTACCATACCATAGTGGGGAAATTCAATCGGGAAAGTCACAAAAACAAGCAAACAGAATAGAACTTACAGTGAGACACAAGACTAAATAATATCAAATGATTAAAAATGAACTGTAAAACAGAGAAAATGTTTTTTTTTTCATATTATTCAGTGTTTTTAAGCTTTAATTATTCAAGCTGATCTGTTAATTTTTATACCATTAAGATTTTAATGTCTTTATCTATTTACCTTGGGGTTCCTAAAACACCACTGAAAGGATTACTTAATGTTTCTATCAGTTTCTGGAGGATGTGTTCAGGACAGTATTGAAACTGCTAACAACCTGTTGAATATGAATGGAGGTAAGCAGAAAGGCTTTGTTGCAGAGGAGTTGGGAGTTCTGTATGATCAAAAGCCGTTTATTGTCTGTGATTGTATCGGAACCATTAAAGCCCTGAATGTAAACTGCAAAAGTCTTTGACATGCTTCTTTTGAGTTTATGTTGGAAACTACGCTGATGCCCTCTTGTCATTCGGACCGAACCCACAGTTGACTGAGAGAAAGGAAGGAGCAGAACTTACTGTATCTACGTATGTGGACTAGGGTTTAAATGATCTATTCATTTTACCTGAATTTATATTTAAACTAGACCAAATTTATACAGATGCAATTAAACAATGTCCCTGCGACTGGCATAAGATTACCACATGCTTGAGCAGCCTGAATACACATGGAGGCTGATGGTCATTAGTAACATTAACTCAATAATCCTATCAGTCAAACTGAAAATGTCAACTCTAAAGCATTTGTCTGGAGTGTGAAATAAAGATAAAATCCACATTTAATCAATAAATGTCATAAACAGAAAAGCTAAACCACAGTTTCCTTATGCATGAAATAAACCTTGAAAGGTTTAATATAGAAGGTTTTCTCTCAAACGATAAGCCCCTGGAACCTTTTCAAGGAGGGTGGGTAGACGTCCATTTTCAGATTTGTACACTATTATGCACTATTTCAAATACAGAAACCATGTTTTACTTTTTTCTTTGTTCCCTACAGAATGATATGTTAAGTTGTAGAAGATAATGACTTATAGTTATCTTTCAATAATCTGTTTCTGGACGTAAAAAGCTTACAGGAAAGTCTGACTGCCATCTTCCTGAAATCACAAAAACCTTTTGAAAAAGAGGCAGAGACGTCGTCCTTTTCAGAGACATCTGTTGTCATGTCAGCTCAGTTAGTGCTTAAAAAAACAACTAGCGTAGAGCTGAATGAGTTCTGCAAGGCCAGGCAAACAGGGACATGGTGGTCTCATTTTGTGGTCTGATCCTGTCACGGACATTTTACACACAAGCCTGGAACCTGCTGAGCACATTTGGAGAGGTGCTAAACTAGTGTCAAAGATGGCGTCCAAGTTGGAACAAACAAATGCCAAAGGGACAGAAAGAGCTTAGAAATAATTCATGGGATTAAAGTATTATTGTTGATACATGCATATAATTCAAAGAAATTCTCTATTGCTTGCTAATAAAAAATGTGCCATTTGTGTAAAAAGATGTTAGAAGTGTAAGAAAACGTTCAGATTTTTTTTTATTTGTATTTTTTTACAGATTTAGGTCTATTAACAATTTAAAACTCATTCGTGTGATAATACGGTAAACCCATATAAAAGTTAGAACTTTACCTTGTCAAATAGTTTTAATGGGTTACATTTATGAAGACCAATAAAATCTCCTTCTCCACACTGGCTGATTTCCATAAGTAACTGATTTAAAAAATGTTCAAATATGTTTAAAGGGTTTTCCTTTTAAAAGTATTTGAAAAACCTTATTTTGAAAGACCAAATTACTAACCTGTTGGTTGGTTTAGGACCACCACCTTTGAAGCCCACTTAAGTAATATTAAATAATTAATAAATCTGTCATCTAAAGGAGTTTCTTAAAGCTTTAGTTTAAAAGGCAAACTGAATAATATTGATCTCACCTGGTTTTGGGCACTTAGCAATCCGGGACCTCCCCTTGCATTAATTTAATGTTTGGAAGATAAAACATCTTTTTAATAAGTGTATATTAATAAATTAATTTTGAAATTCTATTTGTATTTAGTTATACCTATAGAGTGGAACATATAAATGCAGCTATAAAATGACATTGGAAAGACAAATACATTTAATATCCCCCTTCTACTTCCATGTGAAAAATGCACAAACAGATGAGGAACACCCGTCTACACCCACGGTCAGGATATGTAACCGTATCTTTAGTTCTCCTTCCTCTTTCCTCACTTACAGATGGGTTATCCAGTACATTTAATCACACAACACTTAAATGCCGTGGTGATTTCCAACACCAGATCAACACACGGGATGCTGTTTTTTCTTTTTTGCAGTGATTTTTCTGGTTGTCTATTTGTGTGTATCAAATTTTGTTACAGCAAATCAAATCATTATGGAAATCATTATGTTTCTATGTTGTTTCAATGATAAAAAAAAAGCCATTTGCTGTGTTGATGTGATCTTGTGTGATTAATGGTGATGTTTGAAGAAATCACCCTGTCATGTACAGCATCTTCCTCCTCAGAGAACTACTAAACGATCAATTTGAGCAACTTAAGAAAGAACATAAGTTCTTTAAAAGTTTCAAAATACTACCTTATTTTTAATTTTGTTCTGTTGGCATTCTTTTATATTTTCCCCTCCAGTTAAAATATTATCAGATTTAATTTTTTTCCAGTTTTCCAGACATTATCTGAACTGTGGAATGTGCAAATTTACATTAACGTAAAAAAAAAAACATTGGGGGGAAATTTCTATATTGGGTATTTTAATACCAATGACATTTTTTTCTAACAACAGAGAATTTAATAAAAAAAGTGATATATTTCTTCTTTTGGATGTGTGATTTTTATTGCTTCACTGTCATCCTGTGAAATAATGTTCCTATGTGGCAGGATGCCTTTATTTAAATACAATAATCCCAATCTGTCAAGAATACTCATAAGTTATAAAGTTTTTAGCTTTCCTTATGATCTCTGAGGCAATGTGATTCCACCCTGGCCCCAAATGCACAAAAGAGATTTTCCACACAGAGCCTAACCTAAAAATAGCTTTGGTATGTGTGTGTGTTACATGCCTGAATAACGACAAGAAGAAAGCAAAGAATTTGCCAAAGACCACATGGTGGTGCGGCCTGGTGCGGCGCGACACACAGATGTTGACAGAGTAACGGCTTACTGGATAACTTTACAGATACACACAGATAAAGCTCTGACAGGCTGCAGTTACCATCACCATTGGAGCCAAGC